GGTATACAGTCGGCGCAGCCTAGATATTTGGACAGCCAGGGAATCATTCAAAACTTGAGAATTTCCCTTATAAAGGATCACAATTCTGAAGGCTTGCTGGTGGCTTAGTGGTAAGATAAAAATCTAACACCCATTTTGAACTGCTCTAAGACGATGTCCACTTTTTTTATCAACAAGAATGATCTTTCAGAGAAGTTAGTCCTGCACATCGGAAGATGCATCTTAGACCTCCCCCTGCCCCGACTTGAGCAGCTGGTAACCATGAAGCAGTTTTATCAGCTTTTCAGGTCCTTTGGTTTAAATCTCTTGGCCTTCCTTTTACCAGGAATCTTTATTGCTGCTTAATGGACCATTTCTTCTTCTTTTATTTATTTATTTATTTGTTTATTTTGGTATCATTAATGTACAATTACATGAGCAGCATTATGGTTACTAGACTCCCCCCTTCACCAAGTCCCATCCACATACCCCATTACAGTCACTGTCCATCAGTGTAGTAAGATGTTATAGAGTCACTACTTGTCTTCTTGGTGCCCCCCGCTACATTATGTGTGCTAATCGTAATGCCCCTTATTCCCCTCTCCCTCCCTTCCCCCACCCCCTCCAGTCCCCTTCCCTTTGGCAACTGTTAGTCCATTCTTGGGTTCCGTGAGTCTGCTGCTGTTCCTTCAGTTTTTGCATTTCTTCTTCTAATGCTACAGCCTGTGTGGTGTGGGCAGGGCCACGTCACCCCAGCTGGGAGGATGCTGTCCCCTGGGACATGGGCAGGGCAGCATAGGATCCCCAGGGAGTTAAATACAATGGGTTGGAACTGTTTCTTCACAAGGAAGTTCATTTTAGACCAACCACCATTTTCTGATTGAACCTCATTCTCAACATGGTTGTGCAGATGAATAGGTTCTAATGTAACTGCTAATCAGGACAACTGTTTAGTTGGATGAAAATGAGTTGTGTAGCAATTCGACAAATTTGTTCAAGACTGATTGTTCCTGGAAGCTGTTAGAGGTTTCTTCTAGGACTTAAGACTCTTCTACCATCTTGGTTCCCTTTTCTGTTAATGAGATGGTAAATATCGAGGAGCTCCAGCTTGGGAGATGGGGGAGTTTCTCTGTGAGCACAGCTCACAGTTTATGGAGCAGGAACTGGAACCACAGAAATGCAGATTTGGACTCTGGCTCTGTTACCTAGCTGAGCAGCCTTTGGTCGTGCTTCTCAGCTTTTGAGCCTCAGTATTTCATCTTTAGGATGTGGCTACCAGCCATCTTACGGGATTGCAAGGAGGATTAAAGGAGATATTATCATAGCACTAGCAAAGTGCTTGGTACAGTTTCATAATTATGCAGGTTGTGAGACACGTGATCCTCTGAACTTTTACGAGAGTGGTGTGGAGGCAGCTCCCAGTTAAGGAGAAGCCCCCATGTGGATTTGTCACTGGTGTGTTTGTGACCTTTGCATCTTCCTGTTTGAGAGGTAGAGTGATGAATTAGAATGTGGACCATGGTTTTGATGTCAGATGGATGGGGTTTAAATATTGGTCTTACTTGTTGGTCTTGCATATTATTATTATTATTATTTGGTTTTGTGTATTTTTTAAATAACGTTCTCTCACCCTCTCGCCTCAGGTCTAAACTCTCAGAACTGTTGTGAGGAACAGTACTGTATCCAACATGCAGATTCATTGATGATGCCATTTTTGCCCATTTAAAAAAGGGGAAAGAATTTAAATAAACAGATATGTAATTGGGTATGAAAAGAATAGCTGTGGAAGAAAATGAGACATTGTATATGTCCAAGCCTACCAGTTACGTATCACTTAAAAAGCAATTTCTTGGTAACCTTAAACATTAAAGATCTAAGTAAACAGTTCTAACAATGTCAAACTAGTCTGTCACCATCATTTTCCTATAGCTATACTAACAGGTTATGAATCCATTTTAATTAAAATTAGTAAACAACACTTTGTTATACCACTTCAGTAAGTGTAATTGCTTCGTAATACTCTGTCTTTGACACCTTTGAATTAAAAAACGATCCAACTTTAGCAAGAGATAAATGAAGCTAATAATTAACTGACAAATTTAGATTAAGTGCTGCATTTGGATAAATTAGAACTCAAGGTGGATTTTGCCCTCTATTTAGCTGTGTGCATGCCCCATGTTTAGCAGATGTTTTCCAAATCTACACTTCCCTTCTTTAGACTTAGGACTTACTTGCTGTTGCAATGAAGTAAAATCTGATGTACATCTTCACTGGACCTCTGAAAAATGAGAGGGGTTAGAGGTGCCAGCCCTGTGTAAGAGAAAATCTGTGTGTAACTTTTTATTTCCCCAGACTTAATTACTAATAGCCTACTGTTGCCTGGAAGCCTTACCAGTAACAATCGATTAACACATTTTGTGTAGGTATTACATACAGTTTTTGTTACATGCATTGTATATTGTATTCTTACAATAAAATAAGCTAGAGAAAAGAAAATGATTTTTGAAAGTATTGCAAATCCTCCCTAAATTTTCCAGTATATCTGTTGAAAAAAATCCATGTTTATGTGCATCTGTGCAGTTGAAAACTGTGTCGTTTGAGTGTCACCTTTGAAATACAACTTTCAATGAGTGAAATCACAATTAGACAATCCCTAGAATTAGAAGATTCAGTGACACTGTTAAGATGTTTTCATTCTGCTTTCTTCCTGACTGAAGCTCCTTAGAATTACATATTGAGTTCAGCCAGATACATTTGAATCTTGTTTTTTCTTTCAAAAAAGTTAGCTTGTATATGCTAATTTGTGCTTCAAGGAAATCTTCCTGATCTTAGACATATGCCAAGGAATTCCAGTAGAACATGGATTCCTTTTATGCAAGGAAAGACGCTGTGTATTTTGAAGTAGTGATTTCTCCAAAAACTTCCTTTTAAACAGTCCTCCTTCAGTAGATCATATATAAAATGGCTTTTTTTAAAATAAAAGTAAGTAAAATTGATGTTATCTCTTTCTGCACTAAAGAAATCTTTCATACCTAGAGTTGTGCCAGTGAACCAGTGTGAAAAACATACAATCATAGTGTGTTAAACTGGAAGGGGCCTTGCGAGTCATCTGGTCGACCCCCTATTTCATGGATGAGGTAGACGCAGGCACCTTGCCCACAGCCTACCTACCACACAGAGCTGATGGCGCAGCCATGAAAAGAGCCAGGGCTTTCTGACCCTGAATTTATGTGCTTCCTCCAATATCAGCTGCCCCCCATTTTGCATTTTGTTTAGCTGCTGGGTTTTTTGGCATTTGCTAGACTTGCACATTTGGGGAAGTAGAAAACTAGAAATTAAATTTAAGTGTATAAGTGTTGAGGTGGAGATAGAATACTGAACTTGAAGTAAACAAGACTGACATTAACTCAACAACCCCCCCTTTTCCCATAGCCAAAAATGCAGTTTCTGACTCTGTAACCAAATGGCTCATGGCAAATGTTTTTAACCTTTTAGAGCAGAAGAATCGATAACGGAAGATGACAAGAGGAGGTATGTTTGGTATCGAAATTAGCTTTAATTTGAATAATTTTGGCCATACCTCATGGATTTAATTTTACATGGATTAATTTAACTCACTGATTTAAGTTAGCACTGCAGCCCATTAGCAATAATACAGATTCCACTGGGAAAAGCTTTGGCAGGCAGAATATAGAGAGGAGCACATCGTCTGAAGAAGAACTTCCCAGGGTTCATCACCTCTGCTCCTTCCAGGCAGGCTTGGTTTGTCCTGAGCACATGGTCTGTGTTAGTTTCCATGCTGTGGTCTTTGGATGCGCTGTTCTCCCTAACTGGATGGCTTCCCTTTGCCCCCTCCCACTCCTCTTCTGGTTAGCTGCCGTCTAGTCTCATTACTCCTTAGCTCTCTCTCCATTCATTTGATATTTCTATCTCCTGATAAGAAAATGTTTCTGCATGTCCATAGCACCAGATTGCACATCGGCCACTCAGAATTCTTGATATCTGTTGGCTGATCAACTATAACCTGTCACTCCATTGATATTTATCACTATACTAAATTATAAAAGTCCCAACTTCTGTCACATTGCAAGTAAAATATCTAAAAATTCTAATAACTGAATGCAGCTTTCTTTTTTATATATAGCTTCTTTTTAACATAGAAAAAGCAGTTATATTTCCCAGGGCAATAATATTCTGAATTCTACTTTTGAAAAGTCATGAGTTATTTTAACATTTCTGTCATTGCTTGAAGCACCCCATGCTTCTATCACTTTCTACAAATATATAGTACTATTTAAATTGGCCTGATTTTTCTGTATCTGCCTCTTTTCATTAAGAAACTATGGAGGGGTGTATGTCGGTCTACCATCTGAAGCTGCCAAGATGGTATCCAATCAAACAAAGACTGTACGAAAAAGTAAGTAAAATTCTGTGATCCATACTTTCCCTAAATACATTTTTGTTTTGTAAAAAAAAAATGTATTTTATTTCTGCCTCCCTTACTCAACCTACATATCACTGAGTCTCAGCAAACCTTGTATAAGAACTCTGCTTCTGTTCATTGTAGTCAGTTGTTGATGTTACCACCCATGTGATGTGATGAGAGTAATTCCAGGATGTTTCAGATTCCTTGTTAATTTCAGTGATAATCAGTGTAAAAATGGAAAAAATGTTTCAGTAAGTTTATGGAGTTTTTGTAGGACATAAAGGTAAATTCCTGTAATATAAAAATGACTGGCTGATATGCAGTCTCAGTGAGTAGTGGAAAAACGACTGCCTATTGTATAATTAAATGAAGTGAGGCCCCTTTTTCTGAATTTTATTAGTAACTGTGGGTCTCATGAAGTCCTTTTGATACTAGGCATGATTTCAATCTCAACCTCAAAGACAGCTTCTTGCTTAAGTGAATTTTTAAGTGTGGCTCATGGTAAAGAATTCTGGTGGACCAAGCACCATGGAGTTATCTGATTATAGTTTTAAAAGACTCTTAGTATGTTTAGTTTGCATACAAGGCTGTATTACATTTTTTAACATACTATAGTACTTGTTTCTCATTGCTACTTCTCTGCTTTATGATTTAGACTAGCAAATACACACATGTCATTGCTATTCGTAGTTTTGTAGGAAACTAGAATATATGTTCTTTATAATCTGAACATTTAACTTTTCTTAATTTTCTCTTTAAGATTAGAAGAAAATGTCATGCATTGACTTAATAATCAAGAGGTACTGTATATTTTTGTGATTGTATATATTTAGCCTTGATGAATGAATTGTAGATATTATTGCTATGATTTTTTTCTGAAATCTTGTAGTTGAAGATTAAGAGGGGCTCTCATCTTGTGGTTAAATCTATGGAATAGAGGATGTTTTATTGTAAAGAGAGTCTTTAATGACTAGATCAATTTCCTTTGCAGTTACTTTTTTTAAAATTTCATTTTACTTCAAGTGCAACCTGATTTGTTTAATAAGAACAAGCTCAGTGTCCACCTAAAACACCCAGGTTTCACTTGTCATTGCCAAAACTGAGGGGCTTGGACTTTGGAAATGACAGATGGGGAGACACCAGAGCGGCTGGGACTGGGAGTTAGATTATGATCAATATTATGTGTTTGGCAATAGCCAGAGGTTAGTTAATATACAGAGAGGAGATATATCCATACCAAAACTCAAATAGAGATGGGCAGTCATCAGTGTACAGAGATGCAGTTATGTACAGAGTAATACAAAATTATAGGCTGTTTTATAGGTTAGGTTTATAGAACATGTTCAATATAGACAGAAGAAACCATTGTCTAAAAGATGAAGCACTGTGGACCTGGGATATTGGTGAAGAGCTTGGAGTTAGAATTATAATAAGACAAACAAGAACAGGGGAAAACTAGCTTTCATTTGTTAACTACCCTCTGTGTACCAGTCTCTAAAAGATACCGAGCAGCATTCCATAGAGGCAGAGAATCTCAGTTCACCTGTCCAACAACACACGTGATTCTTGGATCCCCACTGTCTTTGAGTCTTTCTGAATGATGTCCATCTGGCCTCTTTTGAACATCCAGTGATCAGGAATGCTCTGTCTTGTGAGATAGCCTCTTTCCTTTTGGGAGTCATGACAACCTTGAATTTGAATTCAGGCTCTTTCACTTACTAGCTGAGCAAATTCCTTCCCTTTTGTAGACTCCATTTTCTAGTATGTAAAATAGAACTAATGCTTAGCTTGCAGGGTTGTTTAGGATTGAATATGAAATAAATGGTAGCTTCTGCTATCTTCATCATTATTATCATCATCATTGTACTATTCTTTTTTTTGTAACCAGAATCCAGCCTTGGGTAAACCCAAAGCAGCACTGATGTAATACTGAACCAACTTCTGGCTGTGGGCCAGTACTGGCATTGGTGTGTGGGATGGGGAAGGGTCACAGAAAAGCTTACAGATGGAGACAAATAAGCTTTCTTACTGGGGGATGTGGTCACAGAGGCTGTAACCAGTTTCTTCCTGATATGAAATCTAACTATTTTGAAGACTTTGTATCAAGGCACTAGCCTTAGGAAGCTTTACTGACTAGTTCCCATGACTGCATTAGAGTTGCATTTCTCGTAAGGAATTTGCTGGAGATTTTTCTATTTCTAGTATTTTTAATAGAGTTCTAATCCTCTATATAGATTTGTAAGCTCCCTGCCAGTTTTCCATTATGCAGAGGTATTTTTGTTATTTGCAACAAATAGAAAAGAAAATCTAGTAAAAAACAAGCGTATATTACCATTTACCCTTCTGAAAACAGTGTATTTCAAAAAGCCTGTGAGTAGAGTAGAAGAGGTGCTGTGTAAATAGGTGCCAGGAGACTTGGTAGCTCTGTTACTAACGCAGGACCTCAGATGAATCCCTTACCTTCTCTCAGCTTCTCTCAATTTCATTTTTCTCACGGGAGAATTAGACAAGATGATTGCTCAACTTTGTGTGTGGATCTGAAATTCTCTGATAATGGATTTAGCAATATTGCTGATAAACTAGCCCACAACTTTAGACTCATAGCTAGAATATTTTCTGCTTAGGGTTAAAAATATATATCATTTTGTTGCTACTATTCTTCTCTTCTCAACTTTCTCCGTTCTTTAGCTCTGTTTATAAACAATGAATTCAATCCTGGTCTTTCTTTTGCCTCCTTTGAATTCATTACTTGAGAAGTTTTCTAAGTTGAAAGACTGGCCATTTTCCTTGCTCAGCATCTGTTATGGTACTTATCTGTGATATGTCTCAACTCATGGCTTTCTGGGCCTAAATTATTGGGCAGAAACCCTGATAGAAGATTGTCCTTTGCAGAGGAAGACATTTTATGGAAAGGATTGGGAACACTTTTTTTGACCTAACATGTAAAATCTCTCTCGAAATAAAGTCACTGAAGTCACTCAATGACCAGAGTTCCAAGTTGGTTTGGCTACTAATCTATTTTTTAAGTTTTTTAATAACATTGAGCCTGAATTTCCATCCTCTGCTTATTGAGAGCCAGTGAGCCTGTGGGTGCGTAAGGAGTGACGCCATGGGTGTTTTCACATGCCCTCCCGGAGGGGAGCCAGCCCCCTGTTCTCCAGCGAGGAACCTTGCCCTCTCCCTGCAGCAACCCAAGGGATCGCTACAGGCATGCTCTGTGGTTAACTCAGTTCCTCAGAAAGGAATCCAGGAGAAACCACTTCAAAATTGGTTTGGTCAGTTTTTGAAACAAATTGAGGAAGGATCTCAGAATCTCTTGAAATACTTGCCTCCTGGTGCAGATGTGTGGTCTCTTGTACAGACGAGCCAAGGGTGAGAGTTATGCCCATTTAGATGTGTGGGGCACGCCCAGCACAGAGGGGCTTAGGTGGCTCTCAGATGCCATGGATGCACTAGCAGGATCGGGTTTCCCCGGAGAAGCGGGAGTGGTGTGGATTGCTGGACTCCCTCAGGAGGGTCTGACCAAGCAGTGAAGGGATGGGGTTATGGCTCAGCAGCCTGTATCTTGAGTTTGGGTGGTGTTAATGTGCAGCTAGGTTTGGGCATTACAATTCTGTATTTTAATCATACCTTTGTAAGTCCTTCTCCACTGGACTTTGTCTGTTGATGTATCTTCAGTGACCAGTGCTGTGCTGGCCCACATTAAGTCAAATAAATGTCGAATGAATGTTAAATGTGTGTTTTACTGAAAGAAAATCAGTAAATAATTTATAGGCTTAGATCTATTATATATTTTTTTGTCCAAGTTGTACCCTTTTAAACTTGCTAACTCTTTTCTTTTTCTGTTGCCTTCCCAGCTTGCTGGTTAGAGTTTGGAAGGAATTCCACTCCATGGGACACTGTAATGTGCACAGACATGTTCAAGGAAATGCTAAAGGCCCCCTACTCTGCCTCCCCATCTCCCCACCTCCCACAAAATTCTTAAGTCTGTAGTTAAAACCATGGGTACGTTGTGATACTAGAAAGGAATTGATTAAACAGTACAGCCGCATATGGAACTTTCTGTGGTCGAACTGCAAAAGACAGGCTAACAAGCTGTTGCTGCCCAGCCGGCCTGCTGTGTTCCAGCCACATTTCACCCTGGCCATTCAGCATGGTTCATGAAGATCATGTGTTTTCACTGACACTTTTTTGATAGTTTTTATATAACAAAATCCTTATTCTATTTATACCTTAAGAGATAGTAAGGCACTGTAAATGAATTACATACAGTAATATATTTGTTAATTTTCACTATTTCTACTTCATATTAATTTTTAGCTGTAAGATTATTAAATTGATTCCTATTGTTACCTCTTTCCCTTTTTACTGTTTGGTTTTCAGCTTTATTTAAATATCAGAGAACTTCCTGGCTGTATTACATTGCAACATTTAAAAACAAACTGCTGAAATTTGCATACCATATGCACATCTTGATTAATTTCCTATTTTCTTTAGGCAAAGACTGTTTAACTACAAATACTTCATAGCCATTGGGTCTCCCATTCTACCTTGGTGTGATCACAGGATCTCATGTTAATTCTATAGTATTTTCAAGGACTTGTGACTGACAGTTAGTGGGATATTTTGAAGGTTCTTACTTTGATAATGACCATGTGTATCTACTTACTACTGCAATGTAAATCCCTCAATTTACCAATGTATTTCAATAATTAAAACATTTTTATCCCTCTTTACCTGGATTTCTTACTTTTTAAAAGAACACTTTTAAGAAGCCATACATTGTGATATATAGATACAATATGTCAATACATACAGATAATAATGTATCAATAGATTACCATGAAAAACCAAAGTTTTTCATAAGAAGAAAAGCATATGACAACCATGGGGATATCAAATTGATAAAAAAAAGTATCAAAGGTAAGTGTCAATAAGAAGTGATGACACACATACTCCTGTCCCATATGACATTTATGTGGAACATCAGTTGTTTACCCCAATAGGGGTAACCAGTTAACATTTTGAAAACTTTTAAGTTTGAAATAATTGTAATTTACAGAAGAGTGTAAAGATAGTACAGAGAGCTCCTATATGCCCTTCACCCAGCTTCCCCTAATGTTAACATCTTACATAAACAGAGTACATTTGTCAAAACTAAAAAATTAAGTATTAGCATTAACCCTGTAAACTATAGCCTTTAATTGGATTCCAGTAGTTTTTTTCATTAATGTCTTTTTTCTGTTCTAGGATCTAATCTGAGATTCCATTCATTGCATTTGGCCTTCCTGTGTCCTTTTTCTCCTCTTCCTGTCATTTCCTCAGTTTTTCGTGATCTCAATGTCTTTGAAGCCTGCTGGTAGATGTTTTGTAGTATTTGCCTCTGTTTCGATTTGTCTCATGTTTTCTTATGATTAAACTGGTGTCACAGACTTCTGGAAGGAATACCACAGAGGTGACTTGCCCCCACATGACATCATATTGCAGTATGTCATGGTCTTAACGTGACTTCTCATTGGTGATATTGACCGTGACCACTTGGCTGGGGTGGGTGAGGGGGTCTGTTAGGTCTCTCCACTATAAGGTTTCTAGTTCTGTTTCTCCAATGTCTGTTCCATATAACAGAGTCACTAAGTTCAGACCATTCTCAAAGGAAATGAGAATTAAGCTCCACCTTCTGGAGGAAAGAGTATCAAGGAATTTTTTGGACATTTGTTAAAAAAGCACTACAGTCATCAATAAGCATTTCGAAGGGATACTTGGAAACTCCACACATGTCCTCGTTTCTCCTTGAATGTTTACCCACTAATTTGAGCATTCACCCTTGGCTGTTGTGTGCAGCACTATTATTGTGGTGTTCCAGTGACAATTTCCTACTTCTCTCGCTCCTGCATGTGTATCACTTGGAATTCTCTAAGGAAAATTTGTCCCTTCTCTCCCATTTACTTACTTACTCAATCAGTTATTTATATCAGTATTGACTCTGGATATTTATTTTGTTCTTCAGATGGTAATCTAATACAGTCATTATTTTATTCATATTGTTTGAGCTTTGACCATTGGTAGTTTTTAAGTTGGCTCTTGACATGCCCCATCCTTTATTTCCCTTAAGTTGATCTTTAATAGCAAACAGACCTGTAAAATCAAAACCCAATTCAACAAGTTAAAAAACATCCTTAAAGCTTAATCAGACTTCATTATAAATGAGTAGTGTTTTCCATATTATGACAAGTCTTAACACTTTCCTTCAATTAGACACTATTTAAATTTAGAACCTTGTGGTTCTAACATGTTAATAATACTTTCCAATGTTTCAAGGCTAATAACTATAGTCTTTATTAAGTAATGCAAGAATCTTAAGTGAAAGACTTAGAAAAATATTAATGTAAAGATCTTTTGGAAGAAAAAGAAAGATTGGTGGAGCCTTAAAAATGCCTGATATATGAGAGAATATTTTCAAACAATATATTCTGGTTCTTTGAAAGATTATTATTAAAAAAGCCTAAGAGGGAAAGATGAGTTTCACAGAATTTTGATAAAATTGATTTTTCAGAAAAGGATTTCTTAAGAAACTTAATAAGCTAGGTGACATTTATTCCAAGACATAATTTAGAAAGACTGCTTAAGGTTAGTTTTGGCTATTGTTTGAATCTGGTAGGTAAAAATCTGTTTTTTGGCAAGTCCAATTTCTCAGGTTTTATCAGAGAATGGCTGGCCTGACGAACTGAGTTCTCAAAAATGATCTGGAGGTGGCTTTGGGCAGAGAGGTGGGATGATAGAAGGCACTGACTCGGTCCAGTGGGGAGGTTGGCCGTCTGGGTTTTTGAATGGGTAAGAACGCGAAGAAGAGAAAACAGGTTCTGTTTTGCAAAGGGAGCTTTGTATTAGTCATACTACATCCATGCCCAAGGATGTGAAGAATTTCAGGAGCAGAAAAGTGATGTAAGGAACTCATTTCCAGGAGAATAGTTTACATTTTACCTGCTTATTGTTCCTTACTGCACGTGGTACATCAAGTAGTACAAAACGATGTGCTTCTCCACGGATTGTGTTCTCATACCCAGTTCCGGTTTTCGGGTGTTTGCCAACCACAACCACTTGAGTTCTTGCTGTGCCCCAGGTGGGCACTGGTAACTATGGGTACAACTGAGAAACCGAAACCCCTCATTCAGACTCTGTTACGAATAGTGGACATACGCTGGGCAGCAGCCTGTAGTGGACATGTAGAGCGTGCCCCAGGTGGGCATGGTTACTTTGGGAGCACAGAGCATGGCACTTAAGTCAGACTGTTGGTTAGGACAGACTCTCCAGAGGGCAGTCCCCTGAGACCACCAGGGAGCGTGTGAGGCATGAGGTGGGAGAAGAAAGAAGCTTCAGGCAGAGAACTGCAGGTGCAGAGGCTCAGCGCTGAAGGCCCTTGGCGAATCCTGGGAACTGCTGGTGCATCCTGGCTGGCTGGGAGGTGGTGGTGTTGGCAGGGGGAGAGTGGAGCAAGATGAGCTTGTGCGGAGCTTCAGGGCCATGCTGGGACTTCTGAAGTCTGTGGGAAGCCCCTGGGGAGTGAAGCAGCTATGTGCTTACCTGTTGGGTCCCTCCATTTGCCCATCATCTGGAGCCATCAGAAGGATTGCTCTTCCCACCCATGGTTTGTGCGTCACTCTGCAGGAGGCAAGGCTAATGCATGCAATTCTGTTATGTGAATGTGAGGCTTCCCCATTTACTCTATGATACAAAATAGTTGGAATTTCCAGACATAGTGCAATTGTGGAAGGGTCTGACAGACAACCAAGGGCTCCAGCACAGTTGACTGATAAAGTTCATCTCCTCCATGAGACCAGACCTTTAAGATTGGGAGAAGTGGCTGTTTTATCTAGTGCACAGAAATGAAGAGACAGTCAAGTGAAATGAAAAAACAGAACTATGTTCCAAACAAAGCATTCCATTAAAATATCAGGAACATTCCATTTGGGCAAGGCCATGCCTTTCCCAGCACCAGATATAACCAGGTGCTTAGTAATTAGAGTTTTGATAATGCTGAGACCATCCTATTGATTCACATATTTCTCCACAAAACCATTCCATTAAATAATGACAAATTTTTTTTCCAGTGGAGTCTATAACCCTTAGATAATTCAGCACTATTTTGCTGTTCCTCTAAGTATTTAAAATTCTGCAATCTCCTTAGAAGGCAGGTGCCCTGTATATTCTTTTCCATTCTTCTTGGAATTGGGTCCCAGGGCTGACATTAGGTTGGTATGAAGGTGAAATAATTTGTGACTCTCTCCCAGACAGGAATAGATTTCTAGGGCAACTGTGGTGTCTTCTCTAGAGTCGTAGTATCTTTGGGACAATTTTTAAGGTCTTTGGCAAATCATTTGGCTCTTCTGCACCTTGGAAATTTTCAGTGAATAGGACAAAATCTGTTTTAATTCTCTTCCAATGTTGTTAGCAGAATTCATTCATTCACTGTTTCATTCATCCAATAATTATTTCCTGAGTGTCGAGTCTCTGCCTGTCATTCTTTTAGGCATTAGAGATACAGCGGTCAACAGATCACAAAAAAGCCCTTGACATCCTAGGGCTTATGTTTACAGAGAAGGGACACACTAAATGAATAAATATAAATGAATATTTTCTGATATAGAATATCTGATAAAGAATATCTATAAGGAAAACTGAATCAGAGAAGAGAGAATGGAGAGCTGGTTGGGAAGGTGAGTATTGCAATTTTAATCTTAAACAAGATGAGCAGGGAAAAATAACTCACTGAAAATAAAACATTTGAAGTCAAAAGACCTGAAGGAGAAGTAGCTACCCATGTAGGTATCTTGACGAAGAACACTTTAAGGCAAAGAAACTAGTTAAAATAGCCCATGCAGGAGTGTGTGTGGCATATCTGAAAAGGAACAAAGAATTCAGTGTGGCTGGGCAAAGATGGCAAATGGCAGAGTAAGGAGGCTAGAGGGCTGCTGGGGAGGGGATTTTGGGGGAATATTAGGCCTATTGTTGATCTCTGGCTGTTTAATTAGTTTATATATTTTAAAAATAAAAATTGTGTATATTTAAGGTATGCAACAGGATGATTTGACATACATATACATAATGAAGTGATGGCTATAGTCAAGTTAATTAACATTATCTCACAGTTACTTTTCTTGTGTGATGAGATCACTTGAAATCTACTCAGCATATTCCAGAATTCAATACAGTATTATTAACTACAGTCATCATGCATCATAGATGCCCAGACTTATCCTAGACAATTGCACTTTGTGTGTTTTGGCCAATCCCCATTCCCCCTGCCTCCGTGCCCCCAGTAGCACTGTTCTACTCTCTGCTTCTTCAAGTTTGATTTTTATTCTTAGGTTCCACATATATGTGAGACCATACAGTGTTTTATATCTGTCTTCAAGGGTCATCCATGTTGGTGCAAATGGCAGGATTTCCTCCTTTTTCATGGCTGAATAATATGTTATATATATATATATAGCATAGTATATAATATATCTATAATGGAATATTATATATGCCATATATGTTATTATATATATCTTTTATTATGCATACATCTGTGATGACACTTAGGTTAATCTGTTTCTGTATCTTGGCTACTGTAAATAATGTTGCAGTGAACATAGGTTCAGATATCTCTTTGACATACTGATTCCATTTCCTTTGGGATTTATACCCAGAAGTGGGATTGCTGCATCTTATGGTAGTTCTGTTTTTAATTTTT